ACAGTGCCATGGGCAGTGTGAGGATGGCAGCTCTCACATCCTTACCAAACCCAGGCATTAGGGAGCAGTGGCTTGGCATCTTGGTCTTAATCTTTCATTCCCTCATGCTGTTGAAAACCTGTCCTGGGCTGACTGCCCTCCATATCTATTCTTTGGTAAAGAGTCTATTAGAATACTTGCTATTTTATTTGTTTTGTTATATTTCATTTCTAGATTGAGAGGTCCTTTTATATTCTGGATACCAGTCCCTTATCAAATCTCAGCTTTTCATCCTGTTAATTGTCTTAAATTTGATGAAGTCCAATTTACCATTTTTTTTCCATTATGGGTCATAAAGATTTTCTCCTAGAAATTTTATAATTATAGGTTTTACATTAAGGTTTATGATCCATTTAGAGTTATGTGTAGTGTAAGCTCTGAATTGGATTTTTTTTTCACGTGTGGAAATTCAGTTGTTCCTACACCATTGAAAAGATGGTCCTTTTTCTACTGTGTTGCCCTTACACCTGAGTGAAAAATCAGCTGTCTACATAAGTGGGAGTCGCACTGGTACTTTATATTCTGGTCCCTTTATCTATTTAACTATCTTTATGCCCTGTAGCTTTAAAATTAGTCTTGAAATCAAATAATGTGAATTCTTCAACACTGTCCTTTTCAAAGTTATTTTAAATATCCTGGGTTCTTTCCATTTCTATTTCAATATTAGAATCAATTTATCTACTTCTACTAAAAAGCTATTCACATTGGCCAAATTATATTTTTATATTGTGTGTGTGTGTACAAACATGTAACAACAAATCCCATCATTTATGTACAACTATAATGCACTGATAAAAAAAAGTGGAAAAAATGTCTTTTGAGATTAAGTTGAATTTATAGGTAATTCTGGAGAGAAATGAAATCTTATCACTGTTGAGTTTTCCAATCCATGGACAAAGTGTCTCTCTCCATTTGAACTGGGATGTCTTCAATTTCTTTCACAATATTATGTCATTTTTATTGTACAATCTTGCATACCTCTGTCAGGCTCATCTAAGTATTTCTTTTTTATATTATTGCAAATGGTATTATTTTTATTTCAAACTATAATCCTTTGTTGTTAGCATACAGAAGTACCAATGATTTTTATATATTAAATGTGTGTCCTTCTCATACTTACTAAGTTCTAGTGGCCTTTTGGTAGATTTTCTTAAGATTTTCTCTATAGATGATTATGTCAACTGTAAGTAGTTTCATTCTTCCATTCCAGTATGGATGCCTTTTATTTCTTTTTCTTGTCTTATTGTTTTGGCTAGGACCACCAAACTATGTTGAACAGAGTAGTAAGAATGCACATTTTTATCTTGTTCCTGATATTAGGACATCAAGTATTAGTCTTTTGCTTGTAGTAAGATATTAGTTGTAGATTTTGGGGGTGGTAAAGGAAGGTTGTTTTCTATTGCTATTTTGCTGTGAGTTTTTTTCTTTTAAGTTATGGATTGATGTTGCCATTTGACAACTGTCTTTCCTGTATCTACTGAGATAATCATGTGGTTTTTCTTTTTTAGCTTGTTAATATATTGAACTACATTGACTAACTTCTGAGCATTAAACTAACCTTGCACCTTTGAGATAATCCTACTTGGTGATGATATATTATCCTTTATATGCACTGCATTGTTGAATTAGTTTTAACATATTTTATTTGGAATTTTTGAATTTAAGTTCATAAGTTTATAATCATAAAATGAACTTCTTATTTTTGGTAATATTTTTTCCTGAAATTTACTTTCCCTGTTATTACTATAGCCACTCCGGCTTTCTTTATTACTTAGAGTTAGCACAGGGGAGGTTTCTATTTTTTTCCTTTTAACCTATCTCTGCTTTTATATTTAAAGTGCTCTCCTTCTCCCCATCCCCTCCTTCTTTTTTTTTTTTTGCGGGACTGGGGATTGAACCCATAAAGTGTGATTCTTATACACACTCCCTCCTTGCCTGCAGTCTCAGTTTCCACAGTTTCAGTTATTCAAGGTCAACTGAGGTCCGACAATATTAAATGGAAAATTCCAGAAATAAATAATTCATGATTCTTAAATAACATTTATTATAGTATGGTTGTGGTTTTCCCACTTTGTTATTCATCTTTTACTGTGCCTAATTTATAAATTAAACTCCATCACAGCCGTGTATGTATGGGGGAAAGCAGAGTACATAGAGCTGGCTGCTATCTGCAGTTCCAGGTGTCCACCGGCCGTCTGGGAACATAGCCCTGTGGGTAAGGGAGGACTGCTGTGTATAGCTGAGTCTTGCTTATTTTATCCAATGTGACAATCTGCCACTTACTAGAAGTCATTAGACTATTTATATTTAACGTGACTATTGATACAGTCAGGTTTGAGTCTCTTATTTGCTTTCTATTTGCTCCATCAGTGTCTTTTGTCCCTTCTTCTTTTGAGTGAACTGAGTATATTCTGATTCAAATATTTCCTTTGCATGCTTATTAACTCTGCTTGCTTTGCTATTTTAGGATTTAACATGTACATCTTGAACTTATCAGCCTACCTTTAAGTGATATTATATCACTTTATGTACATAGTACATTTCCATTCTACGCCCCTAGCCTGTTCACTATGATTGATATATATTCTACATCTATATATGTTATAAACCCCACAGCATATTATAATTTTTGCTTAAATTGTCAATTACGTTTTAAGGAAATTTAAATAAGAAAAAAATCTTACATGATACCATATGATAACCCATGTGTTGTGTCCTGCATTCCCTTTATAGTCAATATTTCCATTTGGTATTATTTTCCTTCTTGCATGAAGATTTTTTTTCTTTTGTAGTGCAAGTTTTCTGGTGGTGAGTTCTTCCATCTTTTGTAAATGTAAAAATGTCTTTTTCTGTTTTTGAAAGACATTTTTGCTGGATTTAGAATGGATATAGAATTTTAGATGGATAGTTTTTCTTTCAGTTCTGTAATGATGTAATTTCACTAAATTCTTTTTTTAGTCAATTCAGTAGCAAGAAATCTGCTGTCATCCTTATGTTTGTCCTCTTGTGAATACTTTTAAGATTCTGTCTTATTCCTGGTTTTGAGAAATTTGATTTCCACATGCTTTGCTGTTCTCTTCTTTATGTTTCCTGTCCTTGGGGTTTGATGAGCTACTCGGATCTGTGGGATGTTTTTGTCAAATCTGGAAAAATTTTTCCTTCATATTTTTTCAAATATCTTTTCCCACTCTCTTTTTTTCCTTTTGGGTTTCCTGACAAGTGTATAAAGCTGCTTGAAGTTACCTCATGTATCACTGATATACCTTCTTTCTGTATTAAAATTCTTTTTCTCTCTATATTCCCCTTTGGGTAGCTCCTTTTGTTATACCTTCAGGTTCACGTATCAGTTCTTCTACAGTGTCTAATCTGTCGTTGCTCCTATCTAGTGTATTTTTCTTCTCACAAATTATATTCTTCACCTATAGAAGTTTGATTTGGGTCCTTTTTATGCAGTCCGTGTCTCAACTTAACTTGTGAACATATGGCACATAAGTGTTTTGATCTCTTTGCTGATTCTAACATCTGAGACCTCCCTTGTCAGTGCTGGTTAGGTTTCCATTGATTGATTTTTCTCCTCATTATGTGTGGATACAAATTTAAACTTTTTGTCACAGAATACCAAATTGTCCTTCAAAAATGTCTCCTTATTTATTCTATCACTAGCAGTGCCTGAGTGTGGCTGTTTTCCCCCGGTCCTGCTAGCACCAAATCCTGTCAGTCTTTGATATGAGCCAGTCCCATAGGCTAAAACTATTGACAGACACAACCAATGTCCACAGGCACCAACTATCAGCCCAGGGACAGACAGTGGCAATTCTATGGTGGCCAGGCAGCCAGGGTAGCTGCCCTCATGGTGCCTTGAGGTATTGACCGTAGTTTTATTTGCGTTTTCATTGATTACTAGTGACTTAGTGCATCTGTTCTCAAGCTTATTGGTATAAACATTCTTCTTTGGGACACTGCCTACTAATGTCCACTGACCAGTTTCAACTGTATTGCTTGGATTTTTTAAAATTCCCTTATTTGAGCTATTTATTTACTAAGAATAGAGATCCACTTTCACTTTTTCAATAATAAAAAAATGGTTTTTTTGTAAACAAAGCTATTTTCTTTACAATATAAACTTGTACATGATTTCTTTCAAGAAATGATTTACATGTTACTCAAATACTCTTTCATATATTAAAGGTAAATAGGAATTGATTCTGGAATAAAAACAATGCCCTTAAAGGGAAAAGTTTTTGAACAAAGCAATAATACAAAACATTTATATACATAAACCTACATAAATCCATAATATGTAAATATTTTCATATCTATCTGATATCAATGTAAAAATGACATAATCTTTAGAAATAATCAAGCAGACTCTAAATGCCATTTTATTCCCTTAATAATGAAATGGAAAGTCAAGGAGATGAAACGTTCCCAGATTATATATTTCCAGCTGATTAAATATTTCTTTCAATGTCATGCCATCTGTATTGAAAATACCCTACAGACAAGATTGTTAATTTGCGATAGTCTAAGATCTATTCTTCAAAAGGAGAAAATGTCACAGTCTTCATTAGGGAGCTTCTGCCTTCCCACTGAAGAGTGGTAAGATCCTTCAGAGGCGCACGCTGCCTATTCACCGGGCTGTGGAGGTGCGTGTTGGGAGCGCTGGGAAGAAGCCCCTGATAGAGGCACAGGTCCCATAAAGGGCCTGGTGTCTTTTTAGCATCAAGGACAATGTGAGGCAGGCAGATAGGAGAGCAACCCCATCCAGAGACAAGACGTGCACACGTGTCACAGGCTAAGGGATGCCAGCCCTCTGCGTGTGATGGAGGGAATGCACGCCACAGTTATGTGGTGAGTGAATCCGCTGAGCACTTCCACTGAGGGTGACGACAGCGACCCGCAAAGTCCCCAGGGCTTAACCCACCCACCAGTTCTGTGGGACTCAGGGCCCCCTCACCAACCTGTTTGGTGCAGATGGTCTCTGGCCACCTCGAATAAGCGCAGGTGCATGTGGGTGATGGGGTTGAAGGAGCCGCAGGCCAGGAGCACCACAGGGATTCGGCTCTTCATCTTGTCAGGCGTGTCTGCACCCACTGCAGTGGCCACCCTGCTTTCCTGGAGACAAAAACTCACATCAGGGAGTTGGCACCAAGACAAAAGTCCAGGCCAGTGGTTCTAACCCATCGCTTGCAGGAGGACTTGCAGAAGCAATTAGATCAGTAGCATTTAGGGACAGCTCACATGGGCCAGGAACTAGGGCAAGTGTTATGTCAAGGTGCACATCTTCTGCCCAGTCCTTTCTATAACTCCGAGTGGTTACTCACATGACCTTAGAAGCTGCCGGGCCAGAACTGGAACCCAGGCAGCCTGACTTGAGAGCCCACACTCTGCCCTTCACCCATATGCCCTTCCTGGGCGCTGTGGGTCACCTTGAGGACAAGAGGAAGTCTACAAGGCTCCCAAATGTCAACTCTGATAGTCCAAAAGGAACTCAGCAGGTCTCATAGTGGACAGACACTTTAGAGAAACTTTATTTTGAAATTATTTCAAACATAACGAAATTTGCCCAAGTTCCCCAGTGTTAACATTTTACCACACTTGCTTGATCATTCATTCTTACATACACTCACACACTCACACTTACACACACACACACACACACACACACACAAACACACCCCTAATCTGTAAATATCTATAGTAACTTTTTCCTGAAATTCTTGAGGGTCATTTGTAGAAATAATACCCCTTTACCTTCAAGTTCTTCAGCATATGTTTTCTAAGGAGGAAGACATTTTCTTACATAACTGCAGAACAATGATTGAAATCAGGAAATGCTCAGGGCAGCAGGACTACTGTCTAATCTACAGGCCTTCTGATCTCACCTACTGTCTTTCATCTGGGACGAGAGCACTAGAGAGCCAGCTCTCCCTCTGTTCTCCTACTCTTAGCACCAGGGTGAGGTTAGAGGAAGGAAGGAAGCCGCCTGGCCCAGGGCCCTGCCTCTCGGGCACCCTGTGAGCTGGAGGGGGGAGTGAAGGGCTCCCCGGGAAGTAGGCCTTGGCCTGACTCCTGCTCTGGTACTCAGTGGCTGGGAGACCTGGGCAGAGCACAGCCCTCTCTGAAACTCAGTTTCTTCATCTGTTAGATGGAGTCATGGTTTGGATGTGAGGTGTCGCCCAAAAACTCACATGTGAGATAATGCCAGAAGGTTAGGGGAGGAAATGATTGGGTTGTAAGAGTCTTAACCCAGTCAGGGAATTAATCCCCTGATAGGGATTAACTGGATGGTAACTGAAGTGGTGGGGTGTGGCTGGGGGAGGTGGAACTGGGACATGGCTTTGGGGATATATTTGTATCTGGGAGGTGGAGTCTCTCTGCTTCCTGATCACTGTGATGTGAGCCGCTTCCCGCTGCCACCTCTCCCACCACAGCGCTCAGCCTCACCTGGAGCCCTGAGGAGTGGAGCCGGCCGTCTATGGACTGAGACCGCTGAAACCGTGAGCCCTCAAATAAACTCTCCCTCCTCTACAGTTGTGCTGGTCGGGTCCATTAGTCACAGCTGTGAAAAAGCTGACACAGCTGGGGACAATATCACTCTGCCCCTGACAAGGGACGGGGGAAGGCAAGGGAGAACCAGTGCACCTGTGGTGAGCAGCTCAGGGTGGTCCTGATGCTCCCCACCTCCTGGTGTTCACTTGTCGCCCCCTCCCCTCCATCCTGGGTGGGTCTGGTGACTTCCTTCTAATGAACAGAGAGTGGCAAATGCAGAGGGACGTCCTGCCTGAGGGAGGGTCACAAAGTCCTGGCTTCCCTCGTGCTCACCTCTCTAGCTCAGTCTGAGGGGCCCGGCTGCCAGGTGCCAGATGCCCCAAGAAGAGGTCCACGGGGCTAGAAACCCAGGGAGACCTCTGGTGGCCTAAGCCAGGAGGAATCAAAATGACCAGCGGCTCTGTGTGGAGGGGGATCTTTGATGGTCAAGTTTTCAGGTGAGACTGCTGCCCTGTGGACACCTGGTTCCAGGTCGGTAAGACCCTGAGCCAGAAGACCGGAGACCCACAGGGACTTGAGTGAAGCAGCAGCCAAAAATAAATAAATAAGCGAGTGGCAGGAAGACCAGCAGAGTAGCCAGGGAGGGGGGAGAACGGGGGAGGAAGGCGGTGAGGGGGACGGGGGGGGG